CTTGAAAGGGCACCTTAATGATTAGTCACATCAATGATTAGTCAAGAATCGGCTGTTAATACTGATATCAGTGTATTCCACAGTCGGTTCTATTTCACTCTCTCTCTCTCTCTCTCTCTCTCTCTCTCTCTCTCTCTCTCTCTCTCTCTCTCTCTCTCTCTCTCTCTCTCTCTCTCTCTCTCTCTCTCTCTCTCTCTCTGTCTGTCTGTCTGTCTGCCTATAATCAACTGCTGTGTGATTCATTTGGCCGGCATTGCCCGCCCGTCCACGTACTTTATGCTAATCAGCGTCTCTTTGCTTATTCAAGCGCGTAACATTGGATTTCAGGTTTGGCTGGATGCGATGCATGCAGCGCAGAAGCCGCTACACGAGTAGTTTTCACTTTGTGGTGTAAGTTTTGGTTATTCAGCATGGCTCCGTTATGCTCCTATTGTTCTCGCTTGTTGTGGCAGCAACGGCAAATACAACAAACAAAAAAATACAACAGTAGCAGCAAAAGCAAACATAATGCAGAATAACAACAGAAACAACAACAACAAAAACAGCAGCAGCAGCAACAACAATAAACCAGACTTTTCTCAGAAGCGGCAAGTGCAAGTGCAAGTGTATACCAAATACATACATAAGTCTAAGTCTCTCTGTGTGTGTGTGTGTGTGTGTTTGTGTCTGTGTGTGTATCTGTGTGTCTGTCTGCAGTGGCGGATCCCAGTCGGGCTGACAGCTGTGTCGCTTTATGCCCCATTATGTTCGCCTGGCAAAATTGGAGCATTTATTGTACCAACAAAAAACGCATTAAATGCGAGACGGACAAAACGAGCGAATCAAATTTTTCAGCGTTCTTCGCTTTTCTTTTCTTTTCTTTTATTTTCCTCTTTCGTTTCCCTCTCTTGCTGCCTGACAAAGATACCCAAACATTGAGAGACAATCGACTATTGGCTACCCTGTAACTTGTTCCATTTGCATATTAAGCATAATTAATGTAAGAAAAATTGCTGTAAAATAAATTCTTTTTTATCAGCCTAAAATATCTGTTGCAACAACAGATGAGTACAACAAAATATTAAAAATGATTCAGAAAGAAAGCAAAACTAAGATTTATATTACAAGTACACATTTAATTAGTTAAAATCAACATTGTTTTATTTTGTCTATTTTTTTACATTTATTTTTTCGTAAATCTCGATAAATGAGTGCTTATTTAGTGCAATGCAACACCCTACGTATATTTGTAGTAAAAGCACACAGAGTATAAGAAGAACAGCATATGCTGACATGCTGTAAGCGTAGCGCATGCACAGCCAAATAAAGAAGGGAAGCCAAAAGCTCAGCGAGTTCAGCAACCAATGCGCTGGCAAAAAGCTTAACCGCTCTCGCAGTCCCAGTGGCAATCGCAACTATTGCCATTCTTGTTTAACACTCTGCACTTGCTGTACACACTCTGTCTGATACGTATGTATGTAGATATGTATGTATTTGTGTATGTATAATAAGATTACAATCGGTATATAAGATATCGTGGTATTGTCTTGGCTTATGTACACACCGCTGTAATCGTGTGTGCGAGAGAGAGACAGAGAGCGAATGAAAGATTGATGATGTGAGCGAAAATACTATTTAGGTCGTCGCTATGCTGGAGCTTTCTGTTCGCCTATTGACGCATCTAGGGCAAGTTCCTAGAATGTTTATTCCAATAAGCCACCATGGCCATTGCAACATCGCGAAAATGACAAAAATTGATGCCAGGCGAAATTCATAGAATTCACCCGAACTTATTAGGCGCCCAGAAACGATTAGCACAATAATGCACACAATCGTCGGCCGACGAACTTATCGCCGTCGGCGGCGGCGGCCTCCAACATGTTTGTGGCGGCGCCGGCATTTGTCGCATTTAAATATCGCGTCATGCGCGTCGCAAATTCATCAGGCGGCCAGAGAAGAAAGAAAACAGGCCAGGATGCCCAATCACATATGACCGCGGGCTCCACATATGTACATACACACATACATACAAATGTATGTACGGCCACACACACACACACACATATAGTCACATGCAATCAAACGGTTTTAACACTTTCGTTTTCTTGTTCCAACCAAACGCTGGCCGCTAAATAGGCGCACAGCAGCCAACAGCAGCGCGTTGCCAAGCGACAAAACTCCGCCCCTCCCCCCACCACCCACACCAGCGATGAAACGGCTATATACAAACACATAATTACACACACACACACACACATGCAAAGCACACAATGGAATTATGCAGACAGAGATGCCAACAGTCATAATGTCAGAGAGAGAGAGAGAGTGTGATAAAGAGAGAGAGAGAGAGAGAGAGAGGAGAGAGAGATGGCGCAAGAGAGCGCCACTCAAACTGAATGAGAGCGCATACATTTGTCTCACTCTTAACTCAAATATGTGCACGCACACACATATACATACATACACACACACTTATATGCATACATATAAATGTGTCTGTCTCGCATGCTTCGCACACAAAAGCTTTGGAAGCGAGCTTTTTACTTTACATATAGCTTTAGTTGCCAATTTATGTATTTACATTAAATATGTTCTTGCAGTCGTCATCGAAAATGGCAATGTGTTTGCATAAAAAACAGTTTTTGTGCACAGGCGCACAGTGTGCGAAAACGGCAACAGCAAACACAAACTCAGAAGTTTTTTTTAATGTACATTTATCTTTTTTTTTCTTTCGGTTGCTTATCGTAATGTGCATTCGCCATCACGCTCTTACACACGCAGCCGTACATACACATCTGTGTGTGTGTATGTGTGTGTGTGTATTGCTTATAGCTTTTGTGTTTGTTGCTTTAGCTGCAAAACCCGCTGATGACTGTTTCAGTCAGCAACGTACAACAATATACGTATATGTGTGTGTGTGCTTTTGTGCCCTGCTGTTGGAGTTGCAAGTTTCTTTGGGAATCAGCAGCAGCAGCAGCATCTGCTTCAGTTGCTTTCTGTGCGCCTGTTCAAAAATCGACTGACTGAAGGCCCCTGAAATCGTGCATGCACGCGATAGATGACGAACATCGATCAGAGTCAGAGCCGAACGAGAAACAACTTGGTTGCTGCCACTGCTGCAATGCGCATGGCGTGAAATGCACGCGTTGCAAACTCATTAAATGCGATTTTCTAATTAGTGCCACCAAGGGGCACAGCGCAACACACAAAGCAGCCGCCCAGTCTCAGCACCAACCGCCTCGCTGTGAAAGCCACCACTTTACTGCCTTGTGCCTAGCCACGCAAGCCAAGCCAATTAGTGAAAAATGTTGCTTTCCCAGCCCCATCCACCCCGTAATCGCATTGGCCACCCTCACTTCATTAGCTGCACCCATTTCGACCTACGCTTTTTGCAGAGCATCTTCTTCTATCCTATTACGCCGGCATCGTCTTAATTAAAAAGCTGACAAACTTCCCCAACACCATTCAGCAGAGAATTTTTAATTGCTTAATTGGAATTGCATAGCATAAATTGTAAGCGTCGTGTCGAAGACGCCTCTTGTGTGTGTGTGTGTGTGTGTGTGTGTCCTGGGAGCGTCCTTCTACGCCCAGTCATTGGTGGGCATTGGCCAGGCCCTTATCGCCAGCTCGCTTGCTCTCGCTTCCATTCTGCTCGCACGCCGGCTGGCGCCTGTTGCCGGCTCTCGATTCAGCGACAGCAGCCGGGCTCTGAAGACGCTTAGCAAGCGCACACCACGCCTAGATACGCCTCAAACTCAGCCAGGGTATCAGGCGAGCAGCATGCGACAGCCAGTGCTAGACTGCGACCAGGATAATGGGCAAGGATACGCGGTCTTTGCCCAGCTGGATGCTGCGATTGCTCTCGACGTGTGCAGCTCTCTCTCTCTCTCTCTCTCTCTCTTTCTGTCTCTCTCTATCTCTCATTCTCCAGCTTTATCTTTTTCGCTCTCTATGTGTCTCCCTCTTTTGCGTGTCCTTGCTCAGCTGCAGCTTTAAAGCTCAGGTGTATCCGACTAAGCCAGGAATATTATTTACAAAAGCACGCAAAAGCTTACAAAATTACACTAAAAATGATTTTTGAATATTTACGTTGACGTTCCTTCAACTGAAAGCCATTTAACATCACAATTTCTAATAATAATTCAAATTAAGCACGATTCCACACAAAGCAAAGTTTCTATTTTCTCTGAACCGATTACCAATAAGTAATATCAACTGATACCAGCTGCCGGGTGGGTGTAGCCAAGAAATCCTTGATCCTTGATGGAGGTCCCCAGTCATCTACCTTTCAAGTTTAGTGGCGGCAGATAAAGGCTTTTACCGTTTTTGTTACTGGCGATATACCTTTACTAGCAAGCAAACTTTTCTATCTTTAAAATTGAGGGAGATATGCGGTTTTTTATCGATTAACAATTTCCTGTGGCGACTATGGATTCTTGAGTGGGCGTGGCCATATATTTTTTTTCATCCATATTTAAAGGCGGTTAACGGTACTTTACTTTCCAAATTTGAAGGCTTCTGCAACTGAGGAAGATTAAGCTGTTGCCGATTTACAGAGGGGGCTGGGCCGCTGGGGGCGGCGGAGGTGGGCGTGACATCTCTGAAGAACATCGCCAACAACCTACCAACAAAATTTCGTGACGGTAGCCTTCAAATTGTGGGAATTATGTGACTTTATCGATCTGCAATTATCGATTTTTATCGATTTCCCAAACTCCTAGTGGACGTAGCACCCTAATTTTGAAAACTTCGTTATCAGAGTAAAATTATGCCAAATGTGAAAGGCAGAAGGAAGCATCTATGACCCCATCGAGCATATTCTTGACCAAGATCAACAATCGAATCGAATATAAATAAAAAATGGGAAAATCAAAGTCAACAAATTTGAACTGTCAACCAAAAATTGGCATCTAAATTAGATAAATCCGGTATAAAAGGCTGCCTTTTAAAACAATCGTTAATTTTTTAGAATTTATTTCAAATGTTATTTTCGTGTAAGTGGAATATTTAAATATTTAAATAAATCACCGAGTGAGATGGACAACAGTGCATGATTGCATTCAATTCCCACAATAATGTGGCAGATTCGGGGCAGGCTCTACAGCACATCAAGAACGCATCGCCAGCTCAGCTGGAATCAATCAGAGATAATACAAGAGCTGCAGGAGTTGGAGCAGCAGCTGGATGACAATTCACAGTTGAGTAAACACAACTAAGTTAAGTAGAGTACTCTATCTATGTGGCATCAACAACAGGACCTCGAAGTGACCATTCCACAATGGGTGGCCTAGCTTGAAGCACATTTATTCCCTTAGATTGATGAAATCCAGACAAATGTGTTCAATGCCCACCAAATTGAAAACGTTCAATGAGAATGCACAGGAACTAAATGTCTCCGATCAATTATCCTACACGACGAACGGGTAAAGTATATATATTTATATAATATACATTATATACACATGCAGTTTAGAACAGCATCAAAAGTCCATCGAAAGTCGAACTCTATCCAAATAAGTTTGTGAAATACCCGAGTCCTTACAAGTGTGGTTTATCTGAAAATTTAAATGAAGGCAGTATCAAATTTCGCTTCAAGCAATGTTGAAAATCGGTTCAGTTTTTGACAAAGTTATAGCTTTTTTAAGATACAATAAATCTTGACTCAATAATATTTAATACTCAACAATGTTTGGTAAAACTCCCGACGAATCTGGCCTATTTAACTGTATCTTTTGCATTGGCAGACAGAAAGAAGATATATACCATTAATTGTTCAGTTAACAGGTTTTTCTCAGGCAATTCGAATGACAAACAATATTTTGATTTTCGTTTTATTTTTGTGTATTTTTTTATTTATTTTTATTTTTTTGTTTTGCCACAACTTTTATTTACTGTATATTTATTGTATAATTTATGTTATTTAAATATTTTGCGTTATTTGATTAGTAATTTAATTATATGTATAATATGTATATGTGTATATAAATTTAATTAACATTAATTCATTTAATATACTTATACAATTCATGCCTTTTTCTGCGTTGACATCGAAATTGAAATCTTTAAATTCCCAACATTAAAATCATACTGAAAATGTCAAAAAACGCATTTGGTTTTCAGTCACTGGTCGCATTTAAAATTCATGTAATTATCGATTTTAGTCATAATTTGCCAATTTCGGAGACAATGGATTAATATTTTTTATATGTATATAAATAAATAGCTTTAATACTTCATACAAATACTCGAGTGTCTTCAATCCATCCAGCTGCAGTTTGCAAGTTCCACTTATCTCATTAAACGGCTGTATAAATTTTGTTTCGTCATTTCTTATTTTGTGTATAAAATTTCAGTTAACCATTTTGGTAGTCGTATTATAGAATTAAAGCGTTTCATGAGGGGATGGGATGATCTTGGATCAATGGCAAACGCTGAATACCGCTTAGTCTTTGGCACATTTCCCGTTCAAAACCAAAAAAACCAAAAAACCAAAACCATGGTTTTTGCCAAATGTTCTCGCTCACAATCAATCAACTGATATGTTGTACTACGTTGTATTATGCATTGACTCGATTCGATCGATTCGAGATGTAGAATTATGTGAATTTGAAAATATGACAGCGAAGCTAGAAAGAATACAGCGCACAGATTGTACAGATTAGCAGCCATAAGCAGGAATCGTTGCATATCAAACCCAAGATGCAACCTGTTCCGGGTTGAGGATGTTACTGAGGAGGTTATTTAAATAGTAGTTCAACTGCAGCAAATGCTAATTTTTGTGCGAACACGCAAAAAACGCTAAAACGGTTAAGCTACATATATAATTAATAATTGGTACATAGTTTCATTAAATTGGTAACAACGTGTCAAATTTTTTGTCTTTTTGTTTTCTTTTCATTTTAATATCTGATTAAAACTTGCGGCTAAAACAATTCTTATGATTTTTGTTTTTTTTTTTTACGGTAATAATTTTCTCACTTTTTTTTTGTTTTTGTTAATATTTTAAGTTTGTTCTCTGATTTAATATATAATTAATTGATCAACAATCAGCTACAATTCAACGATGGCTAATTGTTAATTAAGTTTGTTTTAATTACTTTTTATTTTGATCGCATTTAATAACCAATCTTTTTGTTTTGGCTTTTGTGTCTCTTTTAATATAAGGCCGCTTGGGGCAACTGCTATAAAATGGGTCAATTTGCTAAAAAACAAAAACGAAAAATAAAGAAAATAATAAAACGAGATTGCTACAAGCTAGAGCGAGATAGAGATACAGTATGTGTATGTGAGGGAAAGAGCAAGAGAATATAACTTTTGTTTATATTTTGATAGTTTTTTGTTAGTATTTTTCTCACGTTTTTTTTTTGTTTTCTTTTGTTTTTAATTATTAGCTTGGAATGCTTTCGTAACTAGATTAAGAGGCTATTAAGGATTTCGGCTAAGATTTGTCGCTAAATGGCAAAATTAGACACTACAACTTGTGTTTTTATTTATTGTAATTTAAGATAGTTTAGTTTAAGTTAATTGGCTACCAAAGTCACTTCGAATAGAACAAAGTCCAAAATATACACAACTTTGGATGAAATATGTGTGTCGCAAATATTGTTTAAGTATATGTAATTGGCATTTAAAAACTTTCTACAATTTCTGGGTATATGTTATGTATATATATATATATATCTATTCATTATGGTTTCTAATCGGTTAAATGTATCCGCAACTCACTCACTTTCCTACAGACTTTGCATACATTTTGTTCTTTGGAACATTGCATATGTATAGGGTATGTAAATATGTCTATGTGGGTAGATAAGTAGCTAGGTAAATGTAAATGTAAATATGTATATGTATATGTATGGATATATATGTATGTATGTGATTCGGTTTCGAATGGAATCCGTATCCCGTTTGCCTATAGTTCCTTGCATTTGGTCATATTTTAGTTTAGTTAGTAAACATAAAAATGGGCATCAAAAAAAATATATATGTGTGAAGCAAATAATAATAATAAATAAATTAAATTATTAAACAATTACGTAAAAAAGAAATAACAACTTATGATTATGAGAGCACAGCAATCAAATATGTTAATTATGTACAGTAAATAAGAAAATGGTAAATACTTAACGAGCATATAAAACATAGCAAAGAACAGACAGGGACTAAAAATAAATAAACAAAAAAAAGAAACGAAAAATAATACATAATCAAAATCAAACCACAATTTAAAATTTGAATGCACTTGACGCTTAGGCTAAAAAGGCATTTACTTCGGCTCGGTGCCGCTGCCGGGCGTGGCCGAGAGCGCCATCTTCGAGAGCGTCGCCAAGGAACGTTTCGGGAATGTGTTGCTGCCATCCGATTGATCCGAGAACAGCTTACGGAAGCTGCAATCACAAAATAAATCAAAGTCAATGATGCAGTTGTTAACGCAAGTTGCATTCAAATTGCAATCTATATTGAAAGTTCTTCAACAACACTCACAACTTGCGTATGCCGGACTCGGAGCTCTTCTTCCAGGGCGCATCGTCTGGCTCATACGGCAACGGTCCCTGCACGGGCGCATCGTGTCCAGGTGGCCTGGACATTGGAGAGAATACTTTTGATTACATTGGCATTGCTTTAGGACACATGCAAATCATTAGCCCGGCATTTTAGCTTTTTAACTTATTTATATAATAATATATTTTTGGTCTATTCTCTCGCTGGCTTCAACTGTCAAGTGTTTCTTTTTATTTGTTGTCGGGACTCGTCTTCGAATGAGATACACAATTCAGTTGGAGCCAGCAAAAAGACATATTTAAATCATAACAATAGTTCACCAAACAAGGTGCTCAAAGGTCGTAGCCGAATTTGAATTTGAGTTGTAAGATTTTACTTAAAATTCAAAGGAACAACAAGTTTGCAAATAATTAAATCGACAAAAGAGACAAACAACAAATGAGAACGCTCGACTAACAATCGACAATCGCTGTGAATGATATATACAAGTATACAAATATGATATATATACATTATAACTTCGGCTGGTACACAAATATTTGACTACCTGTATATATATATAAATTGACTAACAAAAAAACTATTGAAGACTACATACTCCTGCGGACGAAAGTCCAGAAGCTAATAACTATCGATCAATTATTCCTATGGGGAGTAGCTATATGATATTGTAGTCCATAGTTCCCAGATACATACAGCTCTTATAAAGATTATATGATATAGTGGTCCGATTCCAATCGATTCTTACATATGAACTGTCTGTCATTATAATTGTGAATGTTTTCAGATGCATCCAGATAGCTTATATAATTAAAGAAGACTAGGATGGATATAGACAACGACATCCGTACGCACAGACGGACATGGCTTTATAGAGTCTGCTATTGATGCTTAACAAGAATATAACTATGTATATGTATCTATATCTATATCTATCTCTCTTTCTCTATCTCTCCCTCTCTATCTCTATCTCTATTGTCTCTTTCAATTATTGAGCGCTCTGAAAGGATCTAACAGTTTTCGATGCATTGCAAATTATAATTCTAATTTTTGGACATTTGAGCTATGTTTATGTGTGTGCCTGTGTGCGTGTGTGTGTCTGTGTGTGTGTGTGTGTCTGTGTGCATGTGTGTGTCTGTGTGCATGTGTGTGTCTGTGTGTGTGTGTATACGCACGATTCGCCTGCAACATCATCATCGACATCAGCCTCAACACCATCGTCGGCCTCGTTGTCATCATCATCATCGTCGTCGTCGCTGTCATCGGAGCTGGATATTTGACGCGTTCGTTTGGCACTTGGTGCCGGCTTCAGCTCGGCCAGCTGCTCGTTGAGGCTGTCAATGGTGGTGAGCAGCTCGTCACGCTCGCTGATCAGCTCCTTGAGCTCGCGGGTGGTATAGCGCGGTCGATTTGGATCGTTTTGATCGTCATCGTAGGACTGCACCAGATCCTCGTTCTCCTTTTCGGCGAGGCCCAAACGCTTGCGCAGCTGATTAATCTCACGACACTGGTCCTGCAGCTGGGCCAAAAAATCGGCACGCTCCTCGCACAGCGTCTTCACCTGTGTCTGCATCAGTTTATGCCGCCGACGCGTGTCTCGCTCCGATGCCTTCAATCGTTCCGCCTGAATGTTGACCTAAGCAACAAAAAAAAAACAAAAACATTTCAAATTTAAATTCAAATTCAAATGCAACTTCATAAATATCAATAATCAAGTTGAGGACCCACATGCTCCAGCTCGCTGTACTTGTCCTGGAGTTCGCGTTCACGCTGCTTCAGCTCGTCGCGCTGCTTGTAGATCTGCTCCTTGAGCCGCTGCAACACCTGTGTGTCGCTGAGTGCGCTATGCAGCTCATTGTTCGTCATGCTGATGATGCTCTCGGTTAGGCTGGCACCCAAACCGGAACTTTGTGCGGATGATGATTGCAGATCTTGGGTCTGCTTCACCAGTCGCTTGTTCTCGTCCTGCAACGAGGAGACCAAATCGACAAGCTCATTTGTCTCGCTCCGCCACTGCTCCTCAATCAGTTCCAATTCCTTTTCAAAGCGTCGCCGAAACTCAGCCTTCTCCAGCTTCTCGCTCTCCAGCTGGGCAATTTTCTCACGCAATTCCTGAATTGTTGTGTTCTCACGCTCGTTCTTCGTGGCCAGCGCCTCGAGCAGCTCCAGCGTATTAATTATCTTTGGCATTAGGCCGCTTACCGCATCGGTGCCATAGCGATCCATAATCCGTTCATATTCCTTGCCAATATCCGATGCCAGATCGTAGACATCGACAACGCCGATGTCATCGATGGCGTCCAAGACCATTTCGCCCATTTCATTGATGTGGAAGCCGGGCATCAACTTGTCCGCTTACCAGCTGCCGTTGCAATTATATCCAAAACAACAACAGCAACAATATGTGGGGCAACCACAGTCGCTGCTTCACTTTGTGGTACTATATAAATATACACGCACACCCACACACACACGCGCACACACAGTTGGGATTTGTTGGATTGAAATCGCGCATTCACTTTTTATTTGTTGGCCACAACAAATTTTGCACAGATGTCAGCAGCATGGAATAAAATATGTGCAAAATATGCAACGAGCACAAAATTGACCTGGCTGCTTTTTTGTTTTACAGATCTTTCGATGACTGCATACTCGCTGGATGAGTAATAAATAACGTAAAAAAAAAAACGAATTTGCAAATCACCCCCGCCACCGTTCGAAGCGTTTCCAGCTGTCCAGCAGAGAGCTATCTATATATACATACATATATGCAAAACGAGCGTTGTTCGCTCTCTCTTTCTCGCTCGCTCTCGCTCTACACATGCGCGCAGCGTTGCTTCTTGGCGGCCGTCATAGAGACATACGGTGTGCCCTTAAACGATTATTTAAATAGAATTGCTATGCTAAGCACCCGTTTCGTGACACGAGTCACTGTTATCGATGACTTCCGCATCACAAATAAACAACTTTCAATTTGAATTATCTGCCAACACTTTACTGTTGAAATTGGAGCAGCCGGCTTTGACGTACTCATCAAAAACAAATTTCAAATAGGACCAAATAAATTCATTGGATTTGATTAATTTATTTTCTTTACAAAATATTTTTTTTCTTATTTTTTCATTGTAAATTATGTTTACATCTAGGCAATATTTGTACACATATGTTACTTGACACGAGTCACTGTTATCGATAACTACAGAATCAGAAGGGGGCAACCTTCAATTTGCGTTAGGGCATTTATCTGTTATCTGGCAACGCTGTGCTGTTGACATTACGCGCCTAAATTTAAACAACGGGCTTTGGCACACTCATAGAAAGAAAAACAACAATTTCAAACAGAATAACTAAATAAATTCACTGGATTTTATTAATTTGTTTTCTTTACAAAAATTGTACAAATATTTTTTTTTTTTTTTTTTTTTTGTAAATTATGGTTGCATTTAGGCAATATTTTTACACATATGTTGTTGAATATTTAATTACTAGAAGTATGCAAATGCATAACTAAATAGCACATTTTCTTTATATTTTGTGTTTTTATGCTATACTAAAGAATAGAGTTATGCAGCGGCGACTAGCAAATTGTTCTCCAAATCTCTCTCTATCTATCTATCTCTCGTCTTACGTTCTGTACACAGTAATAAATGGGGATTTTGTTTATTTATTTTTGTTTTTTTTTTTTGTTTTTTGTTTTTGTTTTTTAAGTACAATAAAATTAGCTACAGTTCTTTGGAGGGTTTTGGGACTGGGGGCTTTGCATTTAAATAGCACATATGTTTGTATGTATATAAAAAGAAATACACAAGTCGTATGTACATATATATAAAAAAAAATACACAAGTTGCGCTTTATGCATAACAATTGAAATTGTTTCTCTCTTTCTAAACACCTTTTCTTAGTTTTCTTTTGTTTTTTAAGGACTAGATTAGGAACCATATTTGTACAGTTTTCGTTATTTGTTTGTTTGTTTGTTTGTTTTGTTTTTTCTACATGACAACTTATTATGTTATGTTATTTAAGGTAAAATGTACAGTGACAAATGAAAATAGTTTTTGGGCCTTTCGTTGCACTTTCTTTTTTTTGGTTAACAGCATTAAAACTTAATCATTAGTTGTCAGTATATATATATATATATATTCTAAATAAAAATAAAAATAAAAAGTTAAAACAAAACACATAAATAATTAATAATAGCAGGCGGGGTTTTAAGCAATAAGTTAATGCTTAAAATTAAATTTTGGCAAGCATTTCATCAGATGGCAAATAAAATTTGATTTAGATAAACAAAAAAAAAATCTAACATAAAAATTCTAAAAAACAAAAAAAATATTTCTTTGTTTTTTTGTTGTTGTTTGGTTTTGGTTTTTGTTTTGGCACACAAAATTAGGCATAAATAAATAATTGTATTAAACATAATAGGTAATTGTAATAATAATTGTATATATTAGTTGGTACTCTTATGGTTATCATAAAGATGGCAAGATTAAATGGAAACAAAACTTAAACCTACGACAAAAAAAAAAGAAAAATATATCTTGACTATCTAATAGGTCTTACAGACTACGCGTTTAGCTGTTGCTGTTGTTGCTGCTGCTGCTGTTGCTGCTGCTGTTGCTGTTGCTGTGCGAGTTGCAGGAGCAGCGCTGAGGCAGCTGCCGCTGGCAGCACTGAAATGTGGCGCTTGGCGCGCTTCGCTGACGTCGGTGATGGCGACGCCGTTTGCGACGATGGCGGTGACAAGCCACCCACAACGCCCACATCCTTGACCAAGGCATCCTGTGAGTCATACTCCTCCCCCATCTCCACACCCGGCAGCGTTAATTCCGCTATGCTGGCATTATCCCGATGCACATCCATCACATCCTCATCCTCCTCCTCTTCCTCATCATCATCATCATCATCATCGTCAACATCCTCCTCCTCCTCGTCATCCTCCTCATCAGCATCAGCATCAGCATCAACATCATCATCATCATCGTCAATGTCAACGATGGATATAATGTCGCTGCTACTGCTGATGTTGCTATCGTTGTTGATGTTGTTATTGTTGTTGTTATTGTTGTTGCTGTCGACGCTTTCATATTCATCGACAAGATCGACAGCATCGTCATTGATTGCGCTGCCATCGATATCCGCATCGGGTTCAAGATCGGGATCAGGGTCGGGATCGGGATCGGGATCGGGATCATCAGCGTCACCGCCATCGTTCGCTTCGGACTAGCTGCTGCTCGACTGCGTTTGCAATGCATTCACTGTCGCTGTGCTGGCGCCACCAGCTGCCACGCCTACAGCGGCCAAGCCGCCGCTGCCCGGAAAATGGCAGAGGCATGCCGGATTTGGATAGTGGCCGGGATGCGAGTTCAGCTTCTTGGTCAGCGTCTTCCAATACTCGATCTGTGCATTCAGCAGCTCAATCTTCCGCTGACGCTCCTCCAATGCCAGCGACAAAATGTACTCATTGTGCTGGCCATGTGGACTGTTGTTGCTCAGATTGTTTAGGATGCTGCTGCTGTTGTTGTTGTTGTTATTGTTGCTGTTGCTGTTGTTGTTGTTGTTGGCGTTGTTGTTGCTGTTGCTGGCGTTCGTGTTGTGAATGCTTGCCACACCGAGACCATTGTAGCCATTAAAAGTGTCGCCAGCAATGCTTAAGCAGCTGCTGCTCGGCTGAAGTTGCAAGTGCGGTTTCTCGCGACCATTCAGCAACAGTTGCACGCCGCCCGCATTGTTGTTGTTGTTGTTGTTGTTGCTGCTGCTGTTGTTGTTGTTGTTGGAGCTATTTGTGATGGCTGCCGCGGCTGCTGCTGCTGCTGCTGCTGCAACCGTTGCCGCCGCTGCTGTTGTTGCTGCTGCCCCAGCATCTACTGCTGCCGTCGTCGCTGTGGATGTGGTTGCGGATGTGGATGCATTATGAGCACGTGCCATGCGTGGCAGCTGCAACCGCGAACTGTCCAAAAGGCTCGTTGTCGCACTGATGGACGCCTGCAGCGAGTGCGACGACGGATGTTGCACGGCGGACAATCCCAAACCGTTAAGCAGCAAATGCTGTTGCATTTGCTCCGGCGTCAGTTGTCCATTGCTGTTGTTGCTGCTGCAGCTGCTGTTGTTGTTGTTGTTGTTATTGTAGCTATTGTTGTTGTTATTGTTCTTGTTGTGGCTGTTGTTGTTGTTGTTGCCGTTGCAGCTGCTGCTGTTCGCTGAGCCATTTTGCAGCGTCTTGCTGATGCTGGCGAAGGCGCCAACTCGTATATTGCCCACATTGGATATCATTATTTTTGCTTTTGGGGCGCCACCGGACAAATTGCTGCCCGTCGATGAGATGGACGTCTTTGTGGAGCAGACACTGTTGTTGTTATTATTATTGTTGTTATTGTTGCTGCTGTTGTTGTTATTATTGTTGTTATTGGCGCTGATTAGGGAGCCGGTGGCAGCGTATTGCTGCTGCAACTGGCGCAGATCAGCGGCAAAGAGCACCTCATCATCCTCCTCCTCGAGACAGACCTCCGGCGCCTTGGGTATGGGGCAATCGTCATCGTCATCCTCATCCATGCAATCCATGCCGTTCTCCGTCTGCTCGTTGTCGCTAATTGTCTCTGATTTGATCATTATAACTTCCGTATCCATGCCCTCATACATTGGCAGCTATTCCAACAAATAGAAATGACCAAAAAAAGTAATGAAACAACAGCAAAAGCAAAACAAAACAATTTAAGTCAAGTTTCGCTTAAATTCAGCTAATCGAACCACTTTCAGTCAACAACTAATTTCATGTAAATTTCAAGCTATTTTTCAAGTTTTGCATCTCATTCTACAGAGAAGGAAACAAACATCTCCGATCCCATAAAGTATATATATATATATATATATATATATATATTCTATTCCTTAAGATTACAAATTTAAAAAGGAAATCTTTGAAAACATTTCTCGTGAGAGTGTTGACATTATTTTTCTCTTGTCAACTGTATATTTAATATTATTATTATTATTATTATTATTATTATTGGGATAGCTGCACTGCGACCTATTCGATCTCTTGTGACCCCGTCTGAGCCTATGGCTGCGTCATCAACCCCAGTTCCCGTGGGAATGTGAGAATCTTTGTTGGATTGAGGGCTTCTATGTCTTTAAAGCTCATAGCACGCATCCCTGGGATGCTGCATGATCTTCTGGTTAAGGCGACACACTCTGCTAGGATGTGCATTGAGGGTTCTTGCTCGCTATATATATATATATATATATATGTATATATTATAATTTGAATATATTTACCTTTGAATCCTCGTAGTCTTCGGCCAAATGGCGACCATTGGCTGTCGCTTGGCTGCCAGCGCCTTCCGGTGACATTTGCTCGGCAATATATTGGGCGACCGACTCCTGTTGGGAGAGCGTGTTGAGCAGATCCATGAAGGAGCGATTGCCCTTATCCTCGCCGCACAGATCCTTCTTGAGCAGCAGCTTCATGTTCTTGTAGAGCTGTCGCAGCTGCTTGGCGCTGCGCTGATGATAGACCTTCGAGTTGAACTCCTTGGCTATCTGCAGCCAGACCTCGTCCTTTTTGCGATTGGACTCGGCGTCGGTGCGCTTGTTCTCAATCACATCCTTGTACTGGGCCGCATAGCCGAGCACCATGTTCCGCTCCCGCTGCGTATACCGGGGAGTCTTTTCCATTTTCAGCCGTTTGCAAGACGTCTTGAAGCTATAAAATTGAATTGAAGAATCGAAAATGTATTGATATATTTTCGAAATATATATAACTAAGATCTATGTTCAATAATATTGCAAATATAAAATCCATTTCAATGACTGTTTCTGTTAAATAGTGCAGAAATTGCACAGCGATTCCCAATTCATGCCTCAAATGTTGAACCATTTTGCATTTAAATACGCCTAGAAATCTAATAAATATTTCTTATTCTTTACTTTATATATGTAGAATTTTAAATTTTAGCTTACATTTTATTAAATTAAATTATTTGCATTATTTGTGTAATAAATAAATATTTACAACTTTCAACCGACTTCGATTGGGGTAACAAAATTAAAGATCATAACACACAGTATACGTGAAGGCATCTTAAGTCAAAAAGAACTGAGTTTATTAACTTTTTAGATAAAAAAAAAACCAGATCAAATATAATGTGCTGCTTTGATTTGAGAAATGTTCTCGTTTTCGAATGATTAAGGGGCAGAGAAGAGCGTGCTTCCAAATTGTCAAATAAATATATAATATATAATTTGAAAAACGCTTTTATAGGATGTCAATTGGCATTCAATTCCGTCGATTAAGAAGCAAAACTTTTGAAAAGCTTTCAGCTGACTTGGTAATTGGACGATTTCCAACGAATATTCTTTGGGGATTGCCAACACCGTTAGACTGCTCCAATAATATGTTATTACCCCCCACTGATGGGGTTTGTATGTATGTAAGCCACGCTGTCTAAATATCGGCGAGAGTGGGAAAAGTTAGCCTAAGCCAAAGGCTTGTCTCCTCACCCAGCTGTTGGGCACAACATACTTTAATTAATAAAACAGAAACAAAAACAAGCTAATGAAAACGGTAAAGATATTGACAACAACAACAACAACAAGAGTAAACGCTTAACTCTTTCACACTCGCACACAAAATGACGACTCGCCAATTATTGATAACGCGATATATACACACACACACACACAACAAACACACATACGTGCACAAGCCACTGAGAGTGAAGAGAAAGACACACACACAAACACACACACACAGGGCCAGGCCATATGCGTGCTTGGATGTGTATGTTTGTGTATGTGGCTGTGTGTGTGTGTGTGTGATAAGCTGCCGACGCAGTTAACGGCCAGGCCAAGCAGCAGCAGCTAGCTCCGAGCTACGTTTGGGAAAGCGCCATCGACTCTTCCTTTTGCTTTTGACTTGTATTTATAGGCGTTAAAGCTTTTTATCGATTTGAGCAGTTTTGCAATAATACAATATGATTTGTATGATTGAGTGTCGGGGCGAGTTAAAATGACAAACTTTGAGCTTCAATCGAAGCTTTCAGCTCGCCCAAAAGCTGAGTGACGCGTCACTGTTGCGCGCTTGAGCGCAGCTTTCAAAGCTCACCTGACAAACTAAGTGTAAGCATGTAAATATAAATATACACACAAATGGATGTGTGTGTGTGTATAACACAGAGACTAAAACAATAATGTAAAGCAACTTTATATCTAATCTCGCATTGGAGATTAGCGTGACACACACACACACACACACACACACACAAACACACAAACACACACACATAACACTCACAAATGAAAGCAGCAATCAAAGAGAGAGTGTAAGCGGGGGAAAGAGCGCGCTTATTCAATGTACTCACGTTTTGAGGCCGCGCCAAAGCCGGCGAAAAAAAAAAGAAGAGAAAAGAGAAAAGAAAAGAACACGCACACAACCGAACGACCGAGCGACGAAGCTTGCAAAACGAGCACAAAAACGGCATCAACCGACTGTGCTTGGGTGGGTTGGCTCTCGACTGGGATGGTAGATTGGGTGGTTTGTTTTTTTTTTTTGTGTTTTTCTTTTTTTTTTTCTTTTTTTTTTTTGGTGCAACAACGGGACGACGACGACGACAACTTCGCGACGAAGCACAAAGCTTGACTGAATTCGAGCAAATAATGGCTGGCGCTCAGAAGTACCGTTGGACAACAGCAACAGCAGCAACAGCAGCAACAACAACAAGAAGCGACGGCAACGTCAGCGACGGGCAAACAAAAATAGGAATACCGCGCAGGGCAACAAGCAACAACTCAAAAACTGCGCCAGCCACGAAACTACCCCCCGTTCTCCCTTCACGGCCCCTCACCACCCCTCCATTCCCAGCCAGCGTCACGGCAGCATAGTATAGTATAGAACTCACACACACACACACACACACACAACTACACTGCTGGGGCTGTGACTGAATGAGTCCGTCTGTTTGCGCTGGCAAAAGTCTGCGTGTGTGTGTGTTTGTGTGTGTGTGTGTGTGCATGAAACGTAATTAAAGCTTAAAACCGAGTTTACAACAACAACAACAACAACAACAACCCTGCAACGAAACGCAGCGAAGGCGACGACGAGCGCGCATGTGTGAGCGGGAGAGCAAAGCATTGTAGGCTATGTGTGAGTGAGAGAGAATCAAAAATGCGGCGAATTACAATGGGGCAAAATACAAGAGGGCGAAAGAAAACGGGGCGAAATACAACTGTTGAAGAGGTTGCGCTTGCCAGCAGGAGGCGAGGCGACTCAGACTGCGACTGAGACTGAGACACACACACACACATAAACACACACAGGCACAATATTGGCTGGTCATAGCTTTTTTAGACGGCGTCATGGCGATTGTTCGAGCCCTAAAATAAATGAATATATAAACTCTTGATCAGCAGCAAGGATCTATGTACGCTATATAGCCAAACGTGCTAAATACAAATATGAAGAACATTATCTTGCTTTCTATTCATTAGTAATTGAATCCAAATAGATGCAAGGAGTTGGATTCCGATCTCCAACGTGACTTTTCTGTTTTTTTTTTTATAATTCTTAATTCTGTGTACTGAGATCACATACATATATTTGAATATACCGTAATCATGGAGGGGTTAACAAAGGGTATGCATACATATATATATATTTCAAATCATGTTTTTTCGCTTTTCACAAAATATCAATATTACAAGTTAAAAAATATACAAATTTGTTTAAAATGAGAAGAAAAAAAGAGTTTACTAATATATATTAATCAGTTTTGTGTATTGCAAATAAATAATAAAATAACAATAGTTTTCCAATTTGAGTTTCCATCTCTATAGGGTATACGTGACTTGAGACTGTTTCCTATGGTTTAGTATTGGCAAACAACTATGCTTCTTCTTCTTCTTCTTCTGTGCCTTGCAATTTGCTTCTTTTTTTGTTTTTGTTTTGGTTTTTGTTTTGCCGGTCTTCAGATTGCTGCTGGACACTTGGAGCTTCGTTCGTGCCTCGATTGGCGACTCGCAGCTTGTAACCCTTACTTTGTTTCTTGTTTTCATGCATTTATGTAATGTACACACACACACACACATACATATATACATATGTATAGATAAATATATGCATTTATTTTTAAACTGAGCTCATTGCTTGCCCCACACGCGGCTGTAGCTGCTCTGTTAGCAAAACAGAGTCGCGTGTTGCTGAGTCTTCTTCTTTTAACTTATTAAAAAGTGTCACCACATGACTAGGCTGATAGAAGCATATCGCAAAGCTTGGCAGCTTATCCCAAAATGGTTTCATCATGTTTCGCAACAGCCGGAGAAAGTCCATTCTCCATTCTAGAGGCGGCTTCTCTGTCCAAAAGATCGACTAAGATCGACATTTCTAAATAAATGTTTATTACCAGCATACTTTTGCTTGCTTTTTAAAATCTATTGAATTTCCCAAGCTTCTTAATTTGATCTGCTTCTTATTAAGAAATTTTAATTCCAATTCAAGTGTACTTTTTTTCTAGAATTAAAATTCTAAATTATGTCTAATATAAAACTCGAGTTAGCAAAATTCATTCAATTTTTCATGGAATCTTTTACTGCTTATCAACAAATACCCCTTTGTTAAGGAGGATAAACAATTACAACTACATCGATACATAAATGTAGATCCTGTAAATCCTAATGGGCATCAAACTGGACTTGGACCTCGAATCTGTTGTAACTTCCTAAAGAATCAATTAGTTGGATTTTTATTATCATTTCGATATCAATCAATCCACAAGTGCAGCTCATATTCAGTGTACCGATTGTACCGATACTTTCTCGATTGAAATAAAGGTCAAGTGTTGGGAGAATGTATACATTCAACATGAATAAAATCGTTATTTAAAGTATCAAAGCCAGATCAAAACAATGCATAGAAATATAGATCATATTTGTCTGCCACAGAACGAATGAGAGCTAAACTCTTTAAATTTTGAAAATTGATGCAATTGAAATCGATTACAAATTTAAATAAATCGATATTTTTACGATATAAGTATTATTAATAGCGGTTTATAGGCTAGGAACACACAATTCATATTGGTTATTTATTTATTTAATGTCAACTAAATTTAAATTTAAATTTTAAATTTGAAAAGATTTTGTGTGTGGATAGTTAAAAGTAATAAGCAATGTGTGTTTTAGGGTTGAGGAGGGTGCAGATACTTTGAGCCGCATTAAAGGATTAACAAGCAGCCCAAAAAAATGTTTTCACTTTGCCAACGACCAAGTCTTTTCACGTAATTAACAAAATAAATAGCTACAAGTTGTCGAGTATTGAATCGCATGTGTATTAGTGTGTGTGTGTGTTAGCGTGTGTGTGTGTGTGTGTGTGTGTGTGTGTGTGTACGTTGCAAAGCGTCATCGTTGGATGGCAAACGATGTCGACTCAAGTTTTAAGATAAGATTAAAAAAGAAACCCAACTGAATCGCAGACTATGTGTGTGTGTGTGTGTGTGTGTGCGGATGTGTGTTGGTGTGTGTACGTTAGTACTCAATGTTATCTTTGAAATCCACTGACAATGAGCCACTGGTCGGGCCAGGCGGTGGCTTTCTGCTGAGCAACGCAAACAGCGGCGAACATTTATACTATGTGCACTACGATATACTTAAGTCTATGTACATACATACATGCATACAAACGTAAATATGTATATTTAATAAGCTGAGAGCAGCGGTGGCTCACAAAAGATACAAATGTATCTATAAGTGTGTGTAAATGTGGAATAAAATAAGCATTGCTTTGTGCGCGCCAACTGAAGGCACAAGCCTCAAAGCGAGACCTTACTGAAGTTATCTACACCCATACATCCAAGCACACACACACACACACACACACACACACACACACACACTTAAGCGCTACTCCCCGAGGCTGACGTCGACCCCTTCGACTGCCACTCCCCCCGCCCGCCATTTGCCCATTTGCCGTTTCAACTGCACAACAGGTGGAATTATTTACTGATAAGCCGCTGATAAAAGTGAGCCAAAGTGCTGGGGCGGGTTTTGGGGGCATTTTTCTGTTGTTGCCGCTGCCGCTGCTGCTGCTGCTGCTGTGACTGTTGCCCAAAACAGTCGCTTGATTCAATATATGTCGAACACAGTTAGATGTGTGACTACACACAAATATGTACACACACACACACACCGCACACACATACATACATACATACATAGGTATATGTATATATATATGTACACATTAAGTCATGATGATACATCAGTTATGAACACAAAATGCCATTGCTCAAATTCCATACACATTTATTGTGGCCAACTATTTTAGACTTCTATCTCTCTCTATATATCTGTATCTCTCTCTCTCTCTCTCTATATATATATATATCTCCTTCTCTCCTTTTACTTTTGGTATTTTTTTTCTGTTTTAACATTTAACATTTAAATTAACCCATTTTATATCCTTAATTTTATTTTTTTTGTTTGTCTTATTTTTTTTTTTTTTGTAACTTTCATTTACAATTTTTATCTTAAGAAAACCTTTTTTAGTCAACATTAAATAAATAAAAAATATATGGTGCAGAGTCTAGAAGTAATCTCAACAAATATATTTGATTGCTAAAATATATATATATATAGATATATATATATATGCAAACTGAACGACAAAATGATGAGACCCTCTGCTAGGGCATGTTAATGGGCAACAGTTATTATGATTTACACAGATCCCAATATGTCTTTTAGAAGGCACAAATATTATGTGCCATGACTTCTCCATCTCTGCCACACTCTCTGCCTCTGCCTCTGCCTCTCTCTCTCACACACACACACACCAACACACACCAAGACAGACCAGTGTGTGCGTAGTGCATATGGTTCCCGGCCTGTGAGTTGAGCAAGCTTTAAGTTCTAACTGTTTGTTGGCTCTTTGATAACACTGGCCGAAACTAGCAACTGACAGGGCCCTGGTCACGAGTGTTGCCCGCATTTAAGTATGCGTGTGTGTGTGTGTGTGAGCTGTTGAAGTAGCGAGCCATTAAGCAGCTGCTGATAATGTTGGAATTCAAATTCGAATTCAAAGTGGACGTCACTTTGCCTGTTCAACATTTAGTTGCTGAGGCTGTCCTGTCAAATTGCTCAACAAAAATCTGGGGTAAGCTTGTTAAATCGAATAGCTGCCATAAATCGAAGCAAAGCTTTCAAAAATTACACAAATTACCCATGAAAATTTTGCAATTAAACTCAACGTAAATCTATTTCAAATATGATCCATCTGAAACCATCTGAATCATGGAGACACCATTTTGAAAGAATAGCTCAGAATTTGATAATGCCAAAAGTGATTCAATAAAATGGGAAGGCCTTTGCACTTTAAGCACAATTTTTCATTTGAAAATCGACAAATCATACACCAAAAATAAAATTGCACAAATTTCAAATATCACTTAGCAAAAAAATAGG